GCTATTTAGTCTTGATGAATTAATAATAATTATAAATGTGCTCCCATCTCCTGGATCTCCAATATGGACTAATATCATTTTAGATTTGACTACTTAAGGAGCTAATAAACAATTAATTATTTTTTTGATATATTAGAGAGTTAGTTACTTGGCATAGCAAAAATTTAGATATCTAATCTTGACTCAAAATCGTGAATTTTTAATTAGTAGATACCATTTCACCCAAACTCATATAAGTAACAATTAATCTTTTTATTGAACATTCATATGATATCAAGCAAAAAGGACATGCAGAAGTAAGCCATTTCAGATAAATTAACGGACCTTAGCGGTGAAAATTAACTGAAGGGTTGATCTGCCAGATTAGGGGCTTATTTGCTGATTTTTTAGTTTATGGGCTTATCTGCTAAAAGGGAAAAGTTAGGGGACTTAAGGAATGCGTTTGCCAAACTGAAAAGACAATAAAACTTCTTGGGCCTCTACTTGGAGAGGACAAAAACTCACCTTGGGCCTTGGGCTTTGGGCCCTGGGCCATTTCCACCTGGCCGTAAATTAATTTTCAGACGTCGGAGGTGAGCCGAATCCAAACACCTGAACAAGGGAGCTACCGAACTGTCACGTGGTGGAAAGCAGGCTCGACATTCAAGACACGACATGTGCACACGTGACTCTGGTTATTACTTAAACATTTCCTTAAGCTAGGGATTTATTAGTCACGGGATTACTTTCCCTCTGATCTTCGAAGCTGTAGTTTATAGACATGTATCCACATAAAAAAAACTGGAAGCTGTCTGAAATCACATCACCATAGGCTATACCTGAGTTATCAATTTTGATGCTATTTTTTTTTCCGTCTTCAATTTTGATACATTGGAGTTTCATCTTCTAGATATACTGATTATAGTAATTGTAATTTCAGTTCAAGGAGCCGTTGGGTTTGCCAAGTGTGTAAGCAACTGGAAATCAATATCCCTGTGGGGTATGGCAGGGATCACAGACAAAGGTGACAGTTCAATTAGTATGTATTGGCATTGCTGTTTTACTTCAGAACACAGAGTTAGGCTTATAGCATATGATGCGTTTGGCGAGTTTGCTAACTATCCAGCCCTCTTTGTTCAGTATTTTGCCTCAGAAGATAAGCATAGATATCTTTTTTCCATATTTTTCATTTAGATCTCTGTAATTCATTACATTTTGCTTTCTCAGTGAACCTAATGTCTTTGTCTTTTTGTCTCATCAGTGATTTTGTAACAGATTTCAAGAGCTAATTCCTTGCAACACCTGAATGTTGGGGGTACATTTATCACAGATGAATCATTACAGGCCATTGCAGATTGCTGTCCACTTCTAAAGGCAAGTTCTCTGTAAATGCACCTCTTTTGCTAAAATAGTATTCTTTCTCGCCTTTAAACTTTGATTCTTAAATAAGCCAAAATTTCAAGTAGTTTCCTTTATATTAAAAGTAAATGCCGCTGCTCTCTCACCAGAAGTATTGTCCTTTGGAGCTACCGTCATGTTAATGACAGTGGGCTTCTTATTCCTGTCAGTAAATGCTCCAAACTTGAGTCAATCAAGCTACGGAGAACAAGATTTCCACTAAAAGACTTGCATATTCCTTTATCAAATAGCCAGAGCTCTGTGCCTGCACATGGGGCATGAGTTCTTCCTCATAAGCCATTGTTTGATACACTCGAAATGATAGTCATGTCCACAATCCAGTTTCCCAAGAAGATCCCCTTCAGCATATTCATCCTGGGAAGGCAAAAACAGGAAAGAAAATGTAAAGATGAGAAGAGAAGACAGTAGAAAAGAAGGGAAAAAAGATAATAAAGCAGAAAAGGATTAAGAAATTAATGTCCACAGTCAACATCTCTATCCACATAAACAAAGAATTCAGTTGCCATTACCTGGCAGATACTGCATGCCCTGTGTTCCTCTGTCCCGGAAGGATGATAGGTTTCCCGACTTAAACGTGCCATAATTGTGTCCTCAGTTAATCCATTTTCAACGACTTGGATTTGCTCTACCTCATTTGCAATGATTTCGAATTGCTCTCCCATGGCAATTAACTCCTAAACAAAAATATTGTTGATTATGATCAAATGTTACTAAATAAATGACGAACACCATGCTAAGTCATATTTTTCTCTAGCCTACATTTAGAAATTAGTACTCTTCATGTTCATAACATCTAAGTAAATGCAAATTAATTGCCTTTAATTTTTCTAATTCTATCTCATAAGTCATACAATTAACACTGAGAAGCATATCTTGGTAAACATATTAGGGTAGACCAGGAAACATTGATGAATTACAAAAAATATTAACAATGATGAAATTCTGAAACTGCTATTGGTTCAGAAGAAAAATTAGATTTGATACAAACATGTACTTTTAGGCAGGAGAAATTACTAGCTAAACTTTGTTTACCAAAACATTTGTTTTTGTGTTATTCAACAGTTTCAGGCAAGAAAACTACCCATCTATAGTTTGTCTGCCTACTGCCATGAATTAGTATAATATTCTTTACTATAAGAATGAAAACTACAATAAGAAGAATAATCCACGGGATTTAAAAAAAATAAGATCGTGAGTACAAGCACATGAATTAATCCAGTTTAGACCTTTCCCAAAAATGTTCGCTACCCACCCTTCTGAAATTGTCCAAGGCTTCACGAACCTATTATGGCAAAAATAGAGAGATTAAAGTCTCTGATTAAAGATGCTTTAGGGACTGATAATATCATTAAGTAAAATAGGATCTGGAAAAGGGAA